TTCACTTTCTAACGCCACCTCTTCCATGCATGTCTTTACACAAAGGGTGGTGGGAGTGTGGAACAAGCTACCCAGCCATGTTGTTGAAGCCGATCTCCGGGTTTCTTTCAAGAAACGGCTGAAGTAGATCCTCGGATCGATTACTACGCTAGATGCCCAAATGGCATTCTCTCTTTTGTAACCATTGTTCTGACTAACACGATCCCTGTTCTCTGTCTGACGTGCTCAATAAAGCCTAATGGAGCCTAGGGCCATCCCACAGCATGGCTGGAGAGCACTGCTCTAAAACAACCGTTCCAAAATCAAGTATTCATGCAGTCAGCACACTTCTGGGCAGCTGCACACGCACAAGGAACAAATTCAATATGACTGTGACATTTCAAGTGGCACAATGATGGCCAATGTCCTTCATCTTGTACTCATCATTGTCACTTTATTTTCTGTGTATTTCACACTGGCCAGAGCCAAGGACACCCTGCTGGCCTCCGATTCCTGGATATCTAATGAAACTACAAAGATTTAGAGTTCGTACGGATTCACATTAATCATAGCACACAGGGTTTGCACGTAGTTTCAATACTAATAATAACAGGGATCTTCCTGTCCAGTCCTAAAAGCAAAAGTCTTATTCCTGGTTCTCATTCCTTCTGAGCTCTTAGTTAATGAACTATTTTTGGATATTAATAATTAATTATAACTATGTCAAAGTTTTTGGGCTTCTTAACAGCCACGGACTTAAGTCACCTGTTCATATTCCAGGTAAATGTTTATCTGACAAACAGTTAAAGGGATGATAAATCCAATACTTAGGAGAATTAGAATCCTGCAAAAGACAAAGCATAAATAAGGAACAGTGCAACCCAGATGACTGGGATTTTATTTGCATGTAATCCCCTTGGACTGTAGGCTCCACAGCAGCACAAGCAACAGTCTGTTTCTTCCCCTGCTCTTCAACAACGCTATGTGAACTGTCCTTGTCCACAGGCATGTTGTCCACTGAGATTAAGCCCCTCTTTCTACTCCACAACAGGGGAGCTGGTGGCACACTGGGGGTTAGAGCCCTGGGCTTGTAACCAGTAAGGTTTGGGTTCACTTCCCAAGAGGGGTACCCTGGTGTGCCCTTGCACAGGGCACCCCACTTGGACTGATTCACTTAAAACGCTTGGTTGTGTAAAAAGTATTTTTTAGACTAATTGCTTTGGGTAAAAGCCCTGACAAGCAGCAATTTGTTGTAATCTGACCAGCCAGCCACCCACCTTAATGTGCTTCCCTGTCCTGCCAATCACAAAGGCCAGCTCCACCTCCCAGTCCACCTCCTGCGGGCAAGCGAGAGAGCCAGGGTCAGGGTCAGTGCCTCTCGGCTTCACACCGGCTCCTAGACCCCTACCAACTACTGGAGCACCTCGGGCCCGCAACAGCCCAGTGTCTTACAAGGCCGCGTCTTCGCGGCCAGCTGGTATGGAAGAGGCAGGGGTCCTGCGTTCCGCTTCAATTGACAACAGAAAGAAATCGACCCGACTTCCAGCAATGAGCAACATGGACAGATCACTCCCAGAGGGCGCGGTGTCTGCAGGTCTGCCTCCCACCCGAGCTCGTCATGGACCTGACTGGACCTGCGCAGCCCCCTTTTCTCCAGTTCGGCCTCCCCTCCTCCTGGGACCCCCAGCACTGGAGTGGAGCATCTCTTTAGTCTCAAGGGGAGAGGGTTACAACACTATACATACAAATGGAGCAAACAAAACACAGACCCCCCCCAAAACAAAGAGTTGAATGAAGAGCAACAACATTCAAGGACTGAACGTCTTTCCACAAAGGGTTCTGGGAGCCCAGGAACAAGCAATCCAGCCTTGCTACTGAAGCCTCCGATCCTCTGATTGGCCTGCTGTCGTATGCCTGCGAGTGCGCGGGTACCTGGCTCTCGGCTGGGTGCGTGACGTTGTCGTAGGGCCCCACGATGGCGCTGGGGAACTTGCTGAAGATGATGGGCTCGGTGGGCACGGGCGCCCGCTGCTCCAGGCAGTGGTCTCTGTAGTTCATGCCCACGCACACCACCTTGTCTGGGGCCGTGATGGGAGCCAGCAGGGTGAGATCTGCCCGGGGCACCACACACTGACCGCTGGCCACTGCCCTGAGAGGGGGAGAGGAGAGACTGTGCCAGCACTGCCTGTCGGCGGATCTCTGTCCAGTTGGCGTTTTTGCCACAGAGCGCTCATGCACACCTACGTCTGCGGCGTTATTTCCGCAGCGATGGGGCTGCAGACGTTACTGAGGAACCGGCAGCACGTTCTGCGGATTCGCCACTGGGTCAGAAAACTAAACTTCACCAAAATCCCCAAACTGCTTCTCTTTTTCTTCCAGGAGCAATTGCACTGATCTCCACAAGACTTCCGAGAGATGTTTGTTTTGAAACTATGTACTGGTACACGTGACCGATGACGTTAAATCAGTGTTCGTGTTCTGAAAGAATTCTTTCACGCTGGACTCTCATGGTTTTTATTCATATCCCATAGTTCCTATGAGAGTCCTGGGAAAAAATCAGGACCGGAAAGCATGACGATCTAAACCAGGGCTCTGAAGGCTGTGGGCAGTGGAAAAAATGCCATTTTTACTGTATTTACATTTTATTGGACACATGGCATGACTTTGTAAGACACTCAAGAAGGACCAATAATGGTTAGCTGTCTGAATCATAAACTTCTTGAGTAATGTCTTGAGTGATGCAATGGATCATTGGTCTATTCTACTGTTTGAATAAAAGACCTCTGCCTGGGTCTCTGTCAGTGTGTCTGTTGCTGTCTTTTAGTTACCTCCTGGCCGTCTCCATGCCTCTCTCTCCAGTCTCCAGGAACCCCCTCATTGTAGAGGGCAGGGAGGGGTCAAAGGCATTGAGGTCGACCACGCCCCCTCCCTCTTGCTGCTCCACCCCAACCCGCGTGTTGGCCACTCCCTCTTTTCCACGACGATGGAACTGCACCAATCTCATGGCCTC